AAGGAGACGGGTAAGGTCACATTCAGCGGCCGAGGAGTCCCCGCGCTCGTTCTTATAGCTCCGTCTCTGTTGGATCTTGCTCACTCGAAGGTCTGGAAAGGGATCAGCTTGGACGGGTGTTGACTTCTGCGTCACCCTCGACCTCCTCACCCGGGCGATGTGCAACGGCGCAGGGTGCTCACGCCCTCGCGACGTCTCTTACTTCTCGTATCTGAAAGAAAGTATTCCATGCATGTCGGTTAATGTTGCGTGAGGCTTCGGCGGGTCGCGAAGGTGGAAGGTTCAGCAGACTCTAATAATAATATATTCGTTCATAAAAAAGGAACGCCCGATATAAGCCTCCTAATCCAACCCTCATTACCACCTCCATTACTGCCCTACGCCGACCACTGCCATAAGCTGAAACTGGAAAAAGCACCCGGAGAAAAACACGGTGTTATTTGACGAAGGCTCTGGCACGAAAGCGATCGTCGAACTCTCGTCCCTCGTTCTCTTCTTCCTCTCTCTCTCTCTCTCTGTCTCACACAAACACGCATTCTTCTTTTTCTTCTTCTTCTCCTCCTCCTCCTCCTCCTCCTCCTCCTCCTCCTTCTCCTTCCTTCCTCCTTCCTCCTTCCTTCTTTCCTCCTCCCCTCTTCCTATCTCCTCTCCTTTCTCCTTCTCTTCTCCTCTCTCCTTCTCCTTCTCTTCCTATCTCTTCCTTCTCCTCTCTCTCCTTCCTTCTCCCTCTCTCTCCCCTCTTCTTCCCCTCTCCCTCGCCCCCACCTTCGCCGCCAAGCCCTTCCGCCGCGAACGCAAGCGCGCATAATAAAGCCATCGCCCCGCCGCTGGCCACGATGGGAGCGCAATCAGCATAAGCGCACGAATGTGTTGCAATAGACGTTTTCTCGGCGGAGGATCCTCGACTTTCTGCAACTCTTCCTTCTTGTGGGTGGAATTCCTGCTTTAAAATTCCTTTGTTGTGATATTACGGCAATTGTTGGCTTTGCTGGCGGGGCCCCTCCTTCGGGTCTCTGTGGGAATGCTGCAAACAGAGAAGCGGCGGTAGTGTGTGCAGCGGCGAGCTTTGTTTTACTTCCGATAAAATCATTGCAACGTTTTTTAAGTGTGTGGGATGGGGTGGGTGGGGTGGGGGGGGGGTAAAATAGAGTGCGTTTGTTGATCTAATGTGGCTTGTCGATGTTTAGAGATAGAGAATGAAGAGAGGCGATATTTGTAAGAAAACTGGAGTTGGAAATGTGCAAATGTTGGAAGTAAAGGTAGGAACAGATGAACAAGTTATAGAGCCGATAAGAATTCGGGGAATGGGGAACTTGCCACCTGAAGCTAAAACATATGAGGTGAGAGGGTTAAGGAAGTGTAAGCATGAGGGACAGAAGAGAGGGCCAGCGCAAGAGGGAATAAAAAAGAGATAGATGAAAGGGAACGGTAAGATGGAAATAGGATGGAAATTAAACATTAGAGAAGCGAATAATCTGAAGGCGACGATGGCCAAGGGGGAAGACATATTTATGGCCGCAGTAAGTGAGAAGCAATTAGAAGAGAATAAGACATACGTTTTCGTGAAAGGCAGGAGTGAAATGATCCGGAAGAGGGAGGGAGGGAGAGAGGAGAACGCGAAAGGAAGACAAGAGAGGAGGAAAGTGAGCATGGCGTTGGGTATGATTGATGGGATAATATTGTAAAGGGAGAGAGGACGGTTGAAAGAGAAAGGAAGATATGAAAGAGAGAGAGAGAAGAGAAGTGTACAGGGGGGCTAAGGACGGAGAGATAAGGAGAACTTTAAGGAAGGGCGCGCCAGGGGAGGGGTGAAGAAAGCGGGGTTTTATCCGTCCCGACACGAGAGTTACAGAGGGGACTGAAATATCGACATCCGCGTCAGGTCTCGCGACTCTGCCGAGGAACTCGCAGGCACTTAAGTTTTTTTTCCCTCTCTCTCTCCCTCTCTCTCGCTTCTCTTCCTCTCTTTCTCTCCCATTTTTTCCCCGAGGATCGTGAGACGAAGCGAAGGCGGAACGGGGAGAGGAGTGTGAGGAGAGGAGGTGAGGAGGAGGAGGAGGAGGAGGAGGAGGAGGAGGAGGAGGAGGAGGAGGAGGAGGAGGAGGAGGAGGAGGAGGAGGAGGAGGAGAGAGAGGAGGAGGAGGAGGAGGAGGAGGAGGAGGAGGAAGGTGATGGGCGATCGTAGGAGTGGGAGGATTTGGGAAGTCTGGACGGAGAGAGGGTGAGAATCAATAAGGATGATACTCCTAGAGATTCGATGCCGGATTCCTAATTCCTGGAGACTCGAGAAAATTGGATTATACTGAACGTGGCTGGATTTAGAAAGGGTCGCCAGGAACAGGGTGTGCGGGGAGGGGGTTAGAAGGGGGAAGGGAGAAGGGAGAAGGGAGATTGGGAGTGTGGGGAGTGTATGGGGGGAGGAGGGTGGGGGAAGGCGGGACGAGAGATGGAGCTGTGATGATGGGAGCTTATAGCCTCCCGGGAAGAGTTTGAGAATACTCGATGGTTGTCCTTGCTTTTGGCGGGACAAGGAGGAGTTTATTTGCGTTCCGCGCTGAGTAAACGCGTTTAATTTTCGCTCTCGGGACGAATGGCGCGCCGAGGGTCGGACGTGCAGAGTCCTAATACATAAGCAGAGGACTCGGATTGAGCTAATGAGGAAAACAGTTGAGTGGAAAGCTTCTCAAACATACTCCGGTGAGTGTTTCTCTTTCATCTCGCTCGCAATCGGTAGCGGTCGGAAATGAAATGATAAAATTTTTTTATATCTTGTTTCTCTTGTGTGATTGAAAACTATTCGTCTGCATGGGGAAAAACACACTTATAGATATACAGAATACACAAATAAACACTCGCAATCGATGTGCGCATTAATGTTCTTAGAAGCACTAACGGCGCTGTTGCCTTGACACTCGTTCGGATTAGATCTCGACCTCTATTCGCGGCGCGGCTGTGTCGCGCGGAAAGGCCGGGGACAAGCGCCGTGCAACAGGATGTGAAAGGGCAGCCTAACTAGGGTTTATTCAGCAGCGGGCAAACAGGATCATTAGCTCTCTTTTGTATCATGCGAGTCGATCTTGAAGTTCTTCCATTATAATTCACGCAGCTCCGGGATGTAAATTGTAGGGTTCAATCAAACGCCCATTCAGCTGTCGAGGGACGGAGCTCCGTGGGCGGTTGTGAGTTTACGTGGCACGCCCGTGGCTGCGGTTAGACACACTGTTTTAATGGTCTCTCGTTTGGCTGGCGCTCTGTTTTGGCTTCGCTTTTCGTCTCTGGTGCAATGGACGTGCATATTCGTCGTCTTTCCCCTTTTTCTCTTCTCTCTCTTCCCCCCCCCCCCCTCTCTCTCCCTCTCTCTCTCTCTCTCTCTCTCTCTCTCTCTCTCTCTCTCTCTCTCTCTCTCTCTCTCTCTCTCTCTCTCTCTCTCTCTCTCTCTCTCTCTCTCCCTCTCCTCTCCCTCTCCCTCTCTCCCTCTCTCCCCTCTCCCTCTTCCTCTCCTCTCTCTCTCTCCCTCATTACCACAGTCCGATTGGCGACACAGGTGCCCAGAGCCGCTTTGCCCCCTCCCGAGGCGGCCTCAGAGCAAGGAGTGACCCGCAGTGACACGCGACCCGCCGGGGCTGTTGCCTCGGCCTGGCGGCTCCGCCATCTGGCCTCGGAGGCTCTGTGCACATCTCTTCTTAATGGTTTTATCTTGCCAACTCTTGCCTCGTGCCTTACTGCAATGGCTTTTATATCTCTGTTCTGCGGAAATACGTGGCCTTTTAAATAATTAAATAAAAATTATGTAATGTATATATATATATATATATATATATATATATATATATAATATATATGTATATATATATTATATATATATATATATATATATAATATATAATATATACCTATATATATATATAATATATATATATAAATATATATATATACATATATTATATATGTATAATATATATATATGTATATTATATATATATGTATATTATATATATGTATATATATATATTATATATATTATATATATTATATTTGTATATTATATGTATTATATTATATATATATATATATGTATATATATATATATATGTATATATATATGTATATAATATGATATATATATTATATATATATATATATATATATGTATATATATGTATATATATGTATATATATATATGTATATATATATATATATATATATATGTATATATATATGTATATATATATGTATATATATATATATATATATATGTATATATATATATATATATATATATATATATATATATATATATATATATATATATATATATATACGGATTGTGTGAATATTTCCGTTTCGTGGGCGTCTCGTCGATCTAGACCTATCCTTGATTAAGTTCGTCGAGGATGTTGATGGTGCTCTAATTACTCCGTTCTTTGAATTGCAACCGCTGTAGAAGGACGCTAATTAAGTCAACAAATGCTCTCCTCTTTCACGGAAAGGCGCAAAAACGTGAGCGAAATGTATGGGGAAAGTGTGATGTGAATTTCCATGGGTGCGTCACGGACCGCTAACGATGGCTCAGAGCTTTGCCACCAATTTTCAGCCTTGAATCTTCACGGACTCTGCTGTGAATATCCGAGGCTCTGCTGCGGATGGAAGGAGTGGTAACGGCCGTCCAGAACTGTGCTTCGAATGCGAGAAGCTTCGGGAACGAGAGACTGGGCCCTTTGATCCGCCCTTGCATTTATCACCGTTTGTCCCTCGCTTCCAAAGTGAAAAATGTTGCATCGGATTTTTTTTTTTGGGGGGTTGGGGGGGGGGGAGGCGCGAGTTCCATTACGATTTTTATTGTTAAATGATGGGTTGACCTTTCGTTCCGTAGAGTTGTTTTAGTAGGGATTAAAGTCCGGTCCGCTTCTCGATTTTATAGAATAAGGTGCGTTATATCGCTTCGGAGTTCGGTTGCACAAAAAGCGTTCAATTCCGAGTGCGTTTCATCCGAACTCAGATGCAGACAAGCCCTATTCTGAACATTGAGTACAAGACACTATTGCCAGCATGCCATTCATACGCTGTTTGCTCACAATATTGCGAGGAGCGATTCGGCTAACGTGTTGCGATAATAGGTTGATAATGACCAATCGCCGGTTACAGTTGCACTAACTATTCCAATTACTGTTATCAACAGGCAGTGGAGAAGTGGCAGCGTCGCCAACAATGCCCTGGGAATACATTGGATGCATACGCGCTCTTTTGCTAAAGTATACATCTACACGTTCGCAGAAAAGCATTCAAAGATGTACAAATACAGTACGAACGAGTAGAGGGAGGGAGAGGGGGGAGAGGGAGAGAGCAAGCGAGAGCGAGACACACGCACACACGCACACGCGCACGCGCACACGCGCACACGCACACGCACACGCACACGCACACGCACACGCACACGCACACACACACCACACACACACACACACACACACACACACACCACACACACACACACACACACACACACACACACACACACACACACACACACCACACGCACACACACACACACACGGAATAACGTCAATTAAAAGGGAAATAGATAAAATAATATCAAACGTAGCTAAGGTTTAAAAATATTGTCTCCCAGCCACGGCCTCCTCGCCTGCGACGAAACGCGAATAGGAGAAGTTGCTCTTTAAAACGCCCGAAGTGAAACGCAAGAAACGTTCCCCGAGCCGCCCGGGCCCGTCGCCCCCTGCGGGCTCGTTTCTCTTCGTGAAAATCTCATTTTAGATTCATAATGTAAAGACTATTTGTCACAATTGCTATCCTTAGGGACGTGTTTGCCCGGCGTGGGAAGGAGCCCTTTTTCACTGCCTCGTCTATTGTATTTTGGCCTTATCTCTGTGTTTTGTGCTGAGGGATACAGAAGGGAAGCTGTGTAGACGCGTGTGTATTTGCAGACGTGTGTGTTTGTTTTTATGTGCGCGCGTTCCGTGTCTGTTTATTTGTTTATCCAACAGTGTAAACAGTCTTTACGGTTTCTTTTCTCCCTTTTTGTGTGTGTTGTATTTGGCTCAGCGCCCGCCCGTCTTCTGAGCTGCGAGAGGTCAGAGGAAGAATTGCTACTAATTTGAATATTATTAAGAGCTTTTCTCATTTTTGTGATGGTTTTCCGGCGAACTCTAGCGCGAGGAAGGAAGGGATTTTACTCTTTATACTCTCTGAATGGGTGGCAGTAGACGCATAAATTTTGACATTGGTATTTGAATATCGCTTTGGAAATGCTATTATTGGGAGACTGAACTGAATTGCTGTGAGCGTATTTCGTGAATTTGCAGATTTGTTGTTTGCTTTATTATAAGTTGGCAGTTCTTATTGTTATTATTTTTTTATGATTATATTCATTATTAGTATTTGTTTTTGGTTTGGTGGTATTTTGTGTTGATTTTTGTTATAACGATTATTATTATTTTATTATTATTATTATTATTATTATTATTATTATTATTATTATTATTATTATTGTTGTTATTATTGTTATTGTTACTTTTATTGTTGCTGGTGGCGGTGCTGTGGTAGTAATTGTTGTTGTTATTGTTTTTTGTCATTACATTATTGGTACTACAGATTTTAATGCCATTAATGCTACTATTATTACTGCTGCTGCTGCTACTACTACTACTACTACTACTACTACTACTACTACTACTACTACTACTACTACTACTACTACTACTACTACTACTACTACTACTACTTCTACTACTACTACTACTTCTACTTCTACTACTACTACTACTACTACTACTACTACTACTACTACTACTACTACTACTACTACTACTACTACTACTACTACTTCTACGTCTACTACGTCTACTACTACTACTATTACTACTATAAATACCAATATTACTACTGATATTGCTACTACTACTTCTGCTGCTACTTTTATTATTATTATTATTACTATCACTGCTACTGCTACTACTGCTACTGCAATTACTACTACTACTACTACCACTACTACCACAACTGCCACTACTACTACTGCTGCTGCAACTGCTACTACAACTACTACTACTACTACTACTACTACTACTACTCCTACTACTAAAATTACAACTACTACCACCATCACCATCACCATCACCACTACTACTACTACTTCTACTACTATTACTACTACTATTACTTCTACGACTACTACTACTACTTCTATCACTACTACTACTATTAGATATAGCAGCAGTAGCAGTATTTTATGAACATTATTATTTATTGTTATCATTATTATTGTTATTGCCGTTTTTATTACTTTTATTATTATTATTATTATTATTATTATTATTATTATTATTATTAATATTGTTGTTGTTATTATGATTACTATCATCATTGTTGTAGTTGCTATTATTATTGTTATCGTCATCATTATCAATATCATTATCATTATCACCTTTTTATTGACTTCGAACTTCAGTAATGTTCCTGATATATTTTAGATATTTATTAAGTAGTTCAGACATGCCGTGACCTAACGCCACCCCATTTCCTCCCGCAGATCTGCTGATCGAGGTGCTGGGCGTGCTGGCCAGCTACTCCATAACCGTGAAGGAACTCAAAAGCCTCTTCGGTTCCATGAAGGCCGAACGAGGACGCTGGGTAAGTCGAGTCGTCGAGCGTCCAGCGCAGTCGACTTTATCGTTGTTGTCGTGCAGAGTGTCTTTACGAGCGAAGGGGCTAACGAGCGGAACGACCTCGGCGAGTTCGGTCCGATTTCGGGGTCCAGTATTGGCAGCCGGCAATGGTGCTCGTTATAGGCTGTTCTCGGGGACCGCAGAAGTAGAGAGACGATTGTATTTTTTTTCTATTTTCTTCTCTGTTCTTTCTTCCATTCCTACGATGTGGTCTTTGATAAGACCTCCCCTACCCCCCTGTTGTGCCTTTGTTTCGCTAGGACTTTTCTGTACCTTTCTACTCCCTTTCCTCCTTCCTCTTCTTCCTCCTCCCTCCCTCCCCCTGCCTCTTTCGTCTTCCCGTTCTTGTTCTCCTTCCTCCGTGTTCTCCCTTGTTTTCGCTTCTCAATAGCCCTCCAACTCTTTAGTTTCTCCATTTCCCATTAGTTCTCCCGTCTTCCCGCCCACCCACTCCCTTTTCTTTCCACTCTCTCCCTCCTCCTCCTCCCCTTCCCTTCCCGTTCTACTCCCTCCCCCTCCCTTCTCTCCTACTCACTCCCTCCCGCCTCCTCCTTCCACCTTACCCCGCCCCCTCCCCCTACTCCTCCCTCCTTACCCCCCCTCCCCTTCCTTCCTCCCTCCCTACCCCCACCTCCCGCCCCCTTTCCCTCTCTTCTTCCCTACTCCTTCCTCCCTCCCCGACCCCCTTCTTCTTCCCTCTCCCCCGCTCCTCCTCCTTCCCTTCCCCCTTCCCTCTCCTTCCGATCCTCCTACCCTCCCTCTCCCCCTCCCCTTCCCCTCTCCTCTCGAACCTCCTTCCTCTCCCTCTCCCTCTCCTCCCTCCCCCTCCCCTCGTCATTTCACCACCCTGCCACGCCGTCCTGTGAACCCCCGCGTGTGTTAAGCTGCAGTTCCCGGCGCATATGAAGTTCTCAGGCACTTCTAGTTGTTCCGGGCCGCTGCAGATGTCGGGGGGACGAGCAAGCTGCAGCAGATTAGCTGTCATTTGCATAAACCAAGGACATGCCAGGCTGATACTAGTGATACTCGCTGTGTTGCGCTGGGATTAGATAAGGGAGAAGAGGGTGGTTCGCGGTAGGGAGGGGTGTGGGCCAGGTGGAAGGGGTGGAAGGGAGGGAGGGAGAAACGATGGGGGGTGGGGTGTAAGGATGGGGGAAAGGGAAGGTCAGGAGGTGAGTGGATGGTGAGGGAGGGTGGGAAGGCGGGAGGGAGGGAGGCCTATGGAGTGTAGAGGGTAAGGTCTCTTTGATCCGGGAAACCGAATTGCATCTGCTTTCGCATATTTGTTTGGTGTGCATTTTTACTGAGCAGCATTTTTATGTCTTTACATATCGTGTAATAATTTATAGTGTTATTTTATTGTAAGCCAAAAGTAATGATATAAGTTTACCGGTGATATAAAGTTGCACATGTCTCACTCGACTGCAAAATGTTAAAAAATGAGCAAGATAATACCTGTCTTGCGCGTGAAATGTATCTTCGATGACATTGTTGACGCTCGCCCTTTGCTCGCATCGGTCCCTTAATTATGTGAACATCACACGAGCGCTGTCCCGTGTCTCTCCATGGGGTCTCGTCAGCTAACAGGCGTCCCTGGTAAGAATGGGTGTTTCAGAGGGCGAGCAGTAAAACGAATGCTGTGAAAAGCTGTTTTTCTCTCTCTTAGAAGTTAATATAGTTGATGAAAGGCCCGGAACCAGAGTTATTTTTTAACTTTGGGATTAAGCAGGATGAGCGCAGTGAAAACGTATTAAATGCACATGGTCGCAGAGTTTCATTAGAGAATTGGTCTAGTCCACTTGAGGCTCCAGACAGACTTTGCAATAATGTCTGACTCCGTGCGTTTCTCCTTGCGAGTTAAGTACCCGATCCTGAAACACGCGGTCCAGTTCATCGCCGTATCCCAGTTCCTTGACTTTTAACAATAGTGCTTGGTTATTAGAGGACAGAGAGCCGGGCGGAAGGTCATATATACATTCCGCTCTCGCCCGAGGTACCGCCGCCGACTTTATTGGAGAAATGTCAACGGAGCATGACAGTTTGACAGGCTTGTTAGACGTAAAATGATCCTAGGTTTTGCTACGGCCTCTGGAATGTTAAAGTTCAGCCTCTTCTCTCCCGGGCGTGATGGCCAGCATTTCCACGTCGCGGGAAAAGAGAATTTTCTGGCGCTCGCTGTCAGAGCGGGGATGTCGCGGGAAGGCTGAACGGCGGCAAAATGGCGTTTCCAAAGACCAGAAAATCCTCCGGGCGAGAGAGAAGAAGAATGGAGTGCGGCGACCCTTCCGCGCTCCAAAAACACATACATCCTTCCCGACGACAGGGCGGCGGGCGGCTGGCCCTTGACCCGCCGATCCTTCAGGTGAAGAACCCGCGTCTTGAATCATAGACGGATCTCGAGTATTGGCGCGGCGTCGTTCATTACCGCCAGACACTCCACGCGGTTAATTAGAATCTCTCCAGTTAGGCCTCAGACCGGAGGAGGAAGGAGAGGAAGAGGGAAGAGAGGAAGCAGAGGAAGAAGAAGAGAGAAGGGAGGAAAAGGAAAGAGGGTGAAGGAGGAGGAGGAAGAGGAAGAGGAATAAATGAGGAAGAGGGAGAAGGAGGAAGGAGAGGAAGAAAGAGGAAAAAGAAGGGGTCGGAATAATCAAGAAGGAGTAACCATGAGGAGGAGGAAGATACAGAAGAACAAGAAGGAAAAGGAAGAAGGGAAGAAGGAGTGAAGGAGAGGAAGGGGAGGATGAGGACACAAGAGGGAGAGAGAGCGGTGCAGAAATCTTCATTGCAATCTTAATGCTAACGGTTTAATACTGCAGAGCTCGCTAATTATGTTGTAGTTATCGGCGGTCGGAGCTTTATGACAACCCACTAGTCTTTAAGGGCTTATTCCAGCTAATCGCTGGCAGAAGCTTAATTCGATTTTGAAGACAGACAATTTAAAAAAGAACAGTCCTTTGATGGGTAATAAACGCGCGCGCACGTACAGAGAGAGAAGCGAGACGAGGAGAGGAGATGAGAAGAAGAAAGGAGAGAGGAGGAGAGGAGGGAGGGACGAAAGGATAGGAGCGAAGGAAAAGAGGGGAACCACGCAGCACATATATAATAGTAAGAGAAATATAATAAGTTGATTAAGTATATAAACCAGACACAAACAAAACACACCCAACACAACAACACACAAAAAAACAAAAAAAATATTATATTAATAATATATAATATATATATAATACATATATAATATAAAATATATATATGTGTATAATAAAAATAGAATATAAATATATATTATAATATATAACTATATATATATAAAAGTATTATAAATATATATATATATATTAGAGCCGGAAATATATTTAATATTATATATATATATATATTATACATATATATATTACATATACTACATACAATATATATAGCATATATATAAAATTAATATAAATTTATATTATAATATATAATATATACATAATATATTATATATATTACTATATATATAATAACATAATATAAATTATATATATAATAAAAGACATATAATATATATAATTATACATATATATATATATATATATATACCATAATACCATATAATATATAGATAATGAATATATGAGATACATATATATTCATATAGATATATATATATATAATATATATTATATATATATATATATATACATCTAAGATGGAGAGTATAATCTTATGTATATATATATATAAATAGATATATAGATATATAATATATATATATATATATTATATATAATATATACAATAGAGTATATTTTCATATACATATATATGTGTCATATAGATATATATAATATATGTAATTGATATTATATATATATAGATATATATATATAAATATACTATAGACATATATGTATGGTATGTATGTATGGTATTATATATGTATGTTAAGAGAACTACACATATAGTATATAGATATATACTATATATATATAATAATATATATATGGTATATATATACATATATATAATATATATATATAGTATATTATAATTAATATATATATATGATACTATATAATATCGGATATATATATAATTGATTATATATAAAGCCATGGGTACAGCATATATAATACATAATATATATATTATAATTATATGAATATAGATATATATATACAATTTACCTATTAGAGTAATACAGAAATAATATAAGATATAAGATAGAGAGAGAGAGATATGGATATGAGTAAGTAAGAGAAGTAATAATAGTAGAAGATATAACTGAATGATAAAATGACAGAGAGAATGGACCACAAGTCAAATAGAATAGAGATGAAGATGGATAAGTAAGATAAAAGAATAGATAGACGAGAGAGAGAGAGAAACAAAGTTATAATATAACAGCATGGACTAATGAAAGATATTAAAAGATTTTAAGAGATTGAAGTAAACGATGAGAGAGAGACAGTAATATAAGCTAACTATAGAAGATAAGATGAGAGAGTAAGAGAAGAAGATTTTGAAAGAGAGAGAGAGAGACGAAGAGTAAGATAAATGAGAGATAGAGATTGAAGTAAAATAGAGACAAGATATAATGGAATTGATAATATGAATGATGGTATAATAATGATATAAAATGATAAACGAAATGATAATGAATATATACGTATGTCACGGATACTCTAGATATGTTTATATTATATAATCGTGGATGATAGTAATTGAGCCCGATGTTGTTTTTATACGCGTGAGAAAAACAAACCATGAAAAAAAAATAAAGATATATATTAATATATATTATATTATATATAATATATATATAAATGTATATTATATAATAATACATATATACATATATATATACATATATATATATAATATATATATATATATATAATATTTGTATTATATATATATATATGAAATATTATATATATATATACATATATATATATATAATATATATATAATATATTAATA